TTTCCAAATATATGCCAAAGTGTCTAGGCAAAATTCATTATTAGCGTTGCATCATCACTTTATTTGCTTGTGCTTTTATTAAAAGTTCAGAGTTGCTGTATACACATCCAAAATCATCCCCTATCAAATGTGAGTTTCTCCGGCGTAGAGTACCCGCAAATAAAATGAATAACTGCGAGCAAAGACCTCAAGCATGGTAATGGTTGAAAGATAGAAAGGAATTGAACTTTAAGATTTATTTGAGATTAACTGTGCATTTATACGCGAGCCTCAATGACTTTGGTCCTCCTGTACTTTCTCGGTAAGAATAGTTTACAGGCATTACCACAGGATCACATAACCTAAGATTACGGTGTTACGGAACAGGTGATAAAATGAAAGCCTTTATACTTACATGTCGAGATAACATATCCATATTTGGACAGGAACCAGGTGTTACCCCAAATAAAAAAACGATTCATTAGTACTATATGTTACTTGAATCTAAGTATCTGTGTGTCTAATATCTTGATAGTATCATTTAAACTGTTCTTATTTTTAAATTTCTGTTATGACGGGTTCCTGATAGACTATTTGGGTAATTTTAGCTGTTATTGCCATATGCAAACCGATCTGTTTTTTACTTTACTGGTACTCGCATCTTACAGAATTCTGGGGTTATGCGACAATATGCTGCTACTTATAAACTATCCTTATCCCTTTTAACCAAATTACTTACCTCACTGCGGTAATGTTTGTCGGCAGGATATATTCACTTAAGCATTAGTCATCTTAGAACAAAAAGTTTGTTGAACTCGCATGTTTTTTAGTCTAGTGTTTCCAATGAGGTACTAATTAACAGCGCTTTCTTTTTATGTGCAAATGTGTGCATATGTGAGCCTTGCTGACTACCATTGGTACACAAGTGCATTTAAAGGCTGTTTGATGTTCGTTTGTCCTGGGACTACGTATTTTCTCTAACTATTTCCTTTAGCCTATCAAGGCATTGCGTACGTTCTTTGAAGACCAAACATCTTTACCCAGTCCTTTATTATGTGTGCAGAAACGGCATTGCGTGCTTATATACTGAGGCAATTAAAATAGGTTTGCACAATGGCTTGTGTTGTAAAAAGGTATGGAACATAAAATGTGATTGTTGGACTGACGTCTTCCTTTAGTACAACAAGAAATAATCTCAAAGGCCAAAATCTAAGTCATTAGCTAGTTAATTAATTAAACCTTTATCATAAAATACCTTTTAAGGCAACGTTTTGTAAGATCCGACTTAGAAACAAATGCTTCCGTGCATTGTAATATGTATTTTTATATAGCAATAGGGTTGACTACCTTGCTGCGAGCAAACATTCGAAAAAAATTAAATTAAACGTAACTAAGTAGACCTCTGGATGTAAATTCTCGGCAGGAAAATGTTAATAATTTGACTTTTTTAACCCTTCCTCTAGATCTCAAACCTGCATAATCCTGTGACCTCAGTTCTGTAGCCTGCCAAATGAATAACATAACCATCAACAGAAAAGTAGTTTGTATAGTGACGCAGTTATTGCGTTGTTAGATTTTTTTGTGTAAAAAGATAAGCATTTGGAAATGTCTAACAGATCACCGATAAGTGCGTTTGAAGTCAGAAAACGCACAAACACTCAAAAAAGAATGTTTCCTAGCAATGACCAACGCTTTAAATACAATCATCTGATTGCAAATCGAAAACGTTATTTAACTTTTTTAATGGGCTGTCAGTTTACTCATGTGCAATTTTCAACAGGCGTACGGTAATGCAACCCCGGTGACGCAGAGTTCTAGGTTACGCATAAAGTTGCCAAGTACACGTGACAGACGTCTGAACTGTCTGCGCAATCAAACATAGAGCAACTGCCGCAACAGTGCATTTCTCTCAAGGTATGTTTACTACAATAATTCATTAAGAAAATATACGTATATTAACTAGTTAATATTATAGTTCTGTGCGGTCCAGTCTATATTTGCATGCAAATAGATTAGTCTTATGGATCTACTTTTCACAAAGCGCACTTGCTGATGCTTTTTTTTTTTACCAAACTCTTGCTTGTTAAAATAGATTACAAATATCGCTTTAAATAATTCAACCAAAGCTCTAAACATATGGCCAAAATGGCAGTGGATATTAAATTTGGGCTATCGCATGGTAATGTTTTGTTTATTTAAATTTATTTTGTATTGCCGATAATTATGGCAATGGGAGTCCCAGAAATTAATCGAGACGAAAAATACCTGATTGCTGGGAAAAGGACTGTATTCGAATGACGCTTTGAATTGCGTCTTTAGAAATAAAATAAAAGGCACACATTTATGCAAGGTATTAACATCATTTCATTATGCCAACCACTAACACGGATGACGTAATTTTTAAACGACGTCAATTCCACGCCGTCCATGAAGCAATTAGCGCACAAGAGGGCAATCACCGTTGATGACGTAGGAGCCACTAATTTTCATACGTATGCAGTAGCATAGAGACCGCAATCTACAAATACTATTACACCATGTGGACGAATTAGTCGTTTTCTTTACGCGGACGCTGAAGGTTGGTTCAAACTGTAATCCTTAACGTCAAACGAATAAGTTAATTCCTCCGACGATCGCATTTAGTTCTTCTCAAACTAATTATTGCTTGAATTTAACTTGTTTTCTTATTGCTGGGCATATGCGATGCCCACGTCTTACTTGCATTGGTTGTGAAAAGCATGTCCTGAAATTGGACCGATTCTGATTGGTGGAACGGCCAAGAGCCTGATTTTCTGCATGCCTCGCAAGCAAAAATATGTCGCATCCACAGGCATCGCATGATGGAAACAACAGTTGTGCCCCTTTTTCTTAAATGCATGATGATCGTCTGACTGAATATCACTGTTGATCTTAATTTCACCTGAACCAGAATCTGATTGACTATGGAGAGAGTAATACAGGAAGCCATGCGCTCCAAACTTCCAAAGGCGTTGAGTTTCGTTAGCAATGATTCAAAAGAAACCGACGAAGATATCCGGTATGTGTCCTTTCTTAAAAGTTAATTTAAATATATAATTAAGCCATTTACTAATCTCGAAATCATGCTGTGATCGCTAACTAGACTCTCTATGCTGCTTGATTTGGGCTTGCACATACAGCAGAAACCAACTTAGAAAGTGTTTGTTTATGTTTTTCTCATTTTTTTTTATACTGTGCTTCAGTAAAAATGGATAGACGAAAGAAAATTCTATTTCAAAAGAAATTAGTTATCGTTGTTCGTCGTGCGTAGGTATGATTTTTATACGGTCACACTTTCAGATTACAAGTACAATTTTAAACCCTGATGTTCTTCTTAAATCTTTATACACAAAATTAGCTAGGCACGCTTACTTTTGATGAAAATACTCTCCTCGTGGTTTGAAATAGAAAACCACTAAAGCTTCCGTCTTTAAGTAAATCACAAAGAGTCAGTCCCTATTAAATGAATGATGAAAGAAGACTCCAACGTTTGAAAAAGAATATGGTTAACGTATTTTTGGATATCACGCTGGCTTTGCAGAATGACCAATTGAGACCGCTTCTCTAGAACTCATTAGACATGCTTCCATTGCGACTGCTTTCATCCTAATGTGAAAAGATGGCGGATTCCTCTATTTTATATGATCCTGTTCAGAGAAAAGCATAAATCTACTTCCTGCTTTTCTTCGTGCAGCAAGAAATCGCGTTTTCACTGTTATCTAAGGTGCAAAGGAACGCAGAAATCCTGCTTATTAAATGCATAAGCAGTTCCAAGAAAGATTAACCAAAACTCTGAAACGCGTTTTAAATTAGGGAGAAGTGCTTTGGTGTTTCAATTGTGTGACATAATTCCATAGAACTGTGTACATCCTCGGATGCCGCAATTTTCATGCACCTCCATTTAACTGCCCACGAAAGTCACATGCGACGCCTATGTTAACGTAAAGCTTATCTCTGTCTCCAGTCACCTCCCCTGCTCCAACTTGTTTAGAACGGATGGTGAACTTCATCAAAATCAATGATCGAGCTAGCATGTCATTTTTTAAATGATTTGTGTTTCACCTATGAATTATCATACATTTCGTGGGAACCATGCACAGAAATTTCACTTTCAGTTTATAGGGCTTCCTTATGTGCGAGTGTTAAAACCATGCATTGTTGACCTAAATACAATCGTATCGTAATTATCCTTATGACATATCCAACATACTCCACATAGTTTAAGCAAATTTATGAGAAATACACGGTGTCTTTTTAATGCCGTATATGCATAGGCTATTTTCCTTACACACAAAGTATACAGCCTGTGGAATTTAACCCTAAACGCAAATGCAACGGTAAATCTGGCTGAAAATTATCCTCGAATAAAAGGAATTTTTTAAACCTAAATAGACCTACATTTTCGTGTATAAATTACAGAAGTGTCTTGCTATCAAACGAGTTTAAGAAACACTAGTGTCAGAGTGCTTTTTTGACAAAATATTTGGTTAACTTTCACGGGCCTCAGAATTCAATAAATAAGCCATGCTGATTAAATTGACAGATTTATCTAGTTTGAGTTTTAAAGGTGGCCGATAAGGAATGCATTAAAAAGGCAGTCTTGCCAGTCCGAACAATATTTCACAAAAGTAGCAATACTGCAATCCACATGATGTTATTACTCCTATTTGAAAATGCGTTTCATAATTAAGTTTAACATTGTATGAGACTGGGCATTGTGAAGTAAATTAATGCGCACCTCCAGATGAATTGATCAATCCAGCATCCATTTGGCTTTCTTTCTGAAATTGAGATAGAAGTTATTTTTCAGCGCACTGGAAAATAATATTATTAGCCAGATGACAAAAGACAGCAAGGACATCGAGAAATATGAAAAGTCAAAATACGCGTTAATTCTGCATTGCTCAAAGTAAAAGAGCGAATGTGAATTTATAATGACTAATTCTACATAATCGAGATAACGATTTGCCGCCGAAACTTATGGGAATACTAACATAGTATCAAGTAAATCAAGCTGGTGCGGAAGAATAAATGAGTCTAACGCAGTATGGACAAAAAAATTTATAATATTTTATACGCCAAAGGACATTTTTATAAACAGAGCAAAAATCCAGATATGGCTGCCACTTTGAAACGTGATTCAGGTACTCGCTTTGGGAAAGACTATTTAGCTTTCTGTGATTTATACGTGTAAACGGAAATTTTGGTCTTCGCTTACATTAAAAGCTTTCTATCAAGGTAAATTTTCCCCTGGTAATTGAGTCCCATTAATTGCATTATGGGTCGCTGCATCGTCAATCTTAAAAACAACCATTCCTGAATTTTCTACTCATAAAAACATCCATGTTTTTCAGATCAAAATACACATATAGCTACAGACTGCACACTATGACTTAGGAAAAAACGAACAGCAGGAAATGCACATGCTATCATTTTGTGTGCTATTCTTTCAGCATAATGCACACATTATTCACATCTTGCTACACTCTTGTGATTTTCATTAAAACATTAATTTTCTTAAATGTTTCTTCTAGTTACAACTACGACCTTGGATGGGCAAACAGTAAAACCTTTACAAAGCAACTTGCTAAGGACAATATAGATGTCGACATACTCAACGATGAGCTCATACGACATGCGGAAAGGCGACGCAGTAGAAGGTACGTAGAAATTCCTCCGACTAACTTAGTACGGTTTTTTTATACTGATTAGCTACATTTATTCAGCGGTCTCCAACATTGATAGTAATTGCAATAATAACTAATAACCTACCAAAGCCTTCATCGGTAGAGTTATGACGTTATTGAGTCCTTATATCCTTCTTGTATCGTGCGTTTATCTGTATTCTGTTAAGTTGCCGCCAGAAACTGCTGTCAACATTCAGAAGCAGTGCCGCACAATTCTTACTCTGCTTCCTTGTTCTTTTGGATTCCTGTTTGGTTATCGCCGAAATCATCCTGGAAATACGCTCAATACAAAGTAAGTTTGGTGAACTTAATGTACCTATTATTATGACAAAAATTACAGATCACCATTTTTTTAAACGAAAACAAGAAGTTAATGTTTGGGTAAAAACTTTTTTGCACGAAAATTATCGAAGATACTTAAGTGCATTATCAGGTACAGTAGAAGAGATTTTTCAACTGAAATTTGCATAGGGATATTTTCAGTATTAAAAAGTACCGGTATGCTAGAAGTGCTAACACGGAAAACCTTCAGTAGACACAGACGGAAACTACTAAATTCTGAAAATGAATTTATTTTTGTAGATTTCAAACAATTATTTACCATCAAGGGACGACAGCTGGGATCTTTAATGTTGACGCAGGCTATCGAGAAATCTTCGCTCATTGCTTTGTGTCTTAATAGCACGGAATCGGCAACGATGCCTCCGTCTAGCAACACTCATCTTAATGGGACTGCAAGTGGATTTCAGAGGTTGTTCAGTCATACGGTCCTGGACGATGAGCGCACCCTTGAGGAATTTAACAATTACATTCTCTGCTGGCAGAGACTTTTTCCTTTAAATGACAACGTTTCACTATCCCCTGATTCCAAACTATGTAAGATTTTGCTTGCATTACTTTCATATTTTTGTGTGAACTTAATGTTAAGAGGTCGCATTTTCTAAGATTACTATCCAGAATGTTCAAGGTGGCAATCAGTAATTGCATTTAAGCATGTTCTACTGGAGCTTTCACGCATAAAAACCTACTCGAAAATCAAACTTGGGCTTAATCTCATAATTTTTTTGTACGCATTTCATTTATTATTTAAAGTAAACCACTGAATAGCACTTATTTCATTTTAAGCCCCATGGTTTCTTACTGAGAAAAGCTTTTCACAAATAATTTTTTTGCCGAATGAAAAGCCTTTAAAGGAAATAGGTACTCATTGCCTTTGGTTCAGAGTTTAAAGCCCTTTGGCCGCATAAACGGTGGCTTTCTAGCCTACATAACAACGTATGTATAATTAGGTCACCAGGTCTTAAGTTTCAAACATAAAAACTTTGGGCAGCCGTGTTTATGCTAAGCTGTATCCGTGTTTGTAATTTGCAACTGTGTATGCAAGGAAATATATCTGTAGTGTTTTGTGGAAACAAAATAACTTTGCTCAAACAAAACAAATAACTTAGTCCTTTTAGATGTTTTAAGTATGAATTTTCAGTCGAAAATACTATATTCAGCTTTCTTCATTGATTGTTACCATATCAGCACCATTGCAATTCTCTCAGGAAAGATAAGTACATTTTAATTTTTCTTCTTTTAGCCTGTGACCTCGACCTCCTGAGTAAATGCTTCGTAGTTAGAAAGACTTCCTTGACGGAAGAAGAATTCAACGAAAGGCTCACAGATCCCTCCACCCTGCATTTTGCCTCGGAAGTCATGCATTTTATCAGCATTGGAGTGACCAGCCTTTTCATCATTTGCATAGTGCTCAAGCTTGTGTGTCTACGACGGAAATTCTTCACAAATGTTTACGAAGTTAGTTCTCTGCCAGTTTTTATGCTTTCATTCCATGAATTTATTGCACAAAGTTTTAATTACAATCAGTTTCACACGGAACACTGCGAACGTTTGCAGGAGAGATCTAGTAAATTCTGTGTAGAATAGTTCCTTGTCCAACCTAAAAATCCTAATGTTCCTCGGTTCCCTGAAGCTTAATTGTGAAAAAGCATTGAAGTTCGTATGAGCCATAGGGAATTGTGTGACTCTAACACAGCTTGATAACGATTAGTGTAACTGCCTATATGCTAGTTAAAAAGTTTCAATTTGTTATTTCTGGACTATCATTGCAAAGAAATAAAGTAGCACAAAAACGTAATGCTTACTTTTATGAGGTTTTGTCCGGTTTGCAATATTCACGTGGAAAATATAGGGGTCAATAAATTCGGAAACGCAGCTGGTTCCACCTAATAGGTACTAACCACGTACCAAAGATACAACAGAGGGACAATTACATGAATTTCAAATTAACTTACAAAATGCCATGGTATGACGATTTGACGCTCGAAAACTCATGAGGATGTGATGTAGTTTGACTCAACAGTAAACCAGTTTTGATATATTTTCATCGGAAGTAGTATATAGATTCTGAGTACGTTGTTTTTGAGCAAATTTACTCGGTAATTTAATTTACGTTATGAGGAAAAATACTACCAGTGGCTCAGTTAACGCCATGGCTTATTATCGAAAACTAATCCTATATTTTGTAATATTTTAGCAAAAAATTGACGATATATATATAAATACAATTTTTGCAATTTGTCATACTTTTTCCATGATCTCGATGTCCGTACACATAATGTTGGATAAAAAAGCACTTGTTCAAAAAGTTATCTTAGTCCACAGTTGTTCCTTGTAATTCAGAAATTGTTTAAACATGGTGTTTAATAGACGATATTAGGTGGAAATCAGAATACTAGCCTCTGCAGGTTAAGCCTGGAAACTTGTTCAGCGTCTATTATACGTTTTAATCTCATGCTTTAAATTTTTGAATCTTATAAGTTTCATTTTAAAGGAAGGGAATATTTTTAACATCCTTGTTAAACGAATCCAAAACTAAGAATTTTTTTATCAATTTTCTGTTGAAAATAATTTCTTATATTTAGTCACCTTTATTGAAAACTATATCTGTTTAAGAGTAGGCTTCCTCAGAACCACCTAATTGTTTTCTCCAACACAGTTATCGTGAAAGGTGTTCAAATAACCGTAGATAAGTTCATGGTTTTTTATGGATTATTCCGATAGCTCTTGCTTCGCTGAAAAGATAGACGAATTGAGTGTAGTTTTCTTCAGAATGCGTTTGTTGTAAGTCGAATAGTTGACGCTCAAATGTTCCATGTACAATTTTGCCCTCCCGGATTTCAGGATTGTGTTTTGTTTTGGACTATTCTTTTAGTAATGGTCAGTCAGACTTTATTTAAACTTCTGTCTGCGGTTTCAGGTGGACTGTTTTCAGGAAAATATCACTATTCTATTTAAATATATAAAAGAAATATTTTAAATACGCAAGTTAGACAACAAGGGATCTGCAGAATTTCATGTGATGCCTAACGGAGGAGACAAAACCTAAGAACAACCTATTTGTCGGAATTTCTGTTACCTTTTTAATATTTACGTCTAATCGCTCTTTGACCGTTGATTTTTATTTTAACTCATGCATCCTCTTTTAATTGTAGGTTATTGACGCATTGGTTATTTTGATATCCTTTCTGTCGGACATATGCTATGTAAGAGTAGACTCCCAGGAGATCTCTGCAATGGTCGTTCTTCTTTTGTGGAGGATTGCCAGATTAATAAATGGTGGGTATTGTTAATAAAGATACGCTTTCTTTTGAGAGTTGAACGAAATTTTCACTTTTGGCTGAAAGCCTACAAGGTAGCTTAAATTATTTTCGGTTTTGTAACTAATCAGTTATTGCGTTTCAGACCAAATATTCCTCCAAATTCCAAAAGCCTTCATAATCTGCTTTCATTTGCTATTCCAGCAATGCTTATGTACGAACGCCAAAGGTGCGAATTTCGGGTCACTTTACAAAAGCGCGCGAGACGTCTAGAGCAGAAAAAGGTTGACAATCTAGAGCGCGATAAGGAATTATTCCAGGTGCATTTTTATGAATAATGTTATAATTGCCTTCAAAATGAAACATTAAACATCCGATTCTTATTTTTGAAAATATGAGAGCAAATGCATTTATTCGAATGATTCAGCACCGAATATGCTTGTGTCCTACGTATACTCGTTATGTTTACATACTTCCAGTAGGAGCAATATCCAAAATATTTGCATATAGAAACTGCTTAACATGCTATAATATGTCTAGCCTGCGGCATCTAAAGTCTAATAATAAACGACTGGAAATTGATTTTTCTGCGCATTGTCTTTTACTGTCTGATGATTCGAACCTTTCTAGTTTTCTTACATTCACTTAGTAGGGTTGCAAAAATATTTCTGGAATTCGCATATATTATATTTTACTTGTTATTATTCACGTTCATCTACCTAACTCACTTATTTAGAAGCAAATTTTGGCACTTGAAGAACTCTCAAGATCTCTTGGTTCACCGGAGGAAAACATACGTGATTGCAAACCTCGCTGTAAGCTTCTTTTCTTAAACGATAGCCTAACATTCTGTAAAAATAAATAAACGTACTGAAAGCACAGGTTTTACATATAACAAAATCTTTCAGAATGATGTTTCGAAAATGTATGTATCTCACCATGAAACATAACCACTTTACCATAAAATGCCATCTTATTCTGGTAGAAATAGGACTGTGGGGATTTAAACGTATATACTGTTGATAAGTGCGTGTTCAACTCTACTTCTTCCGGTTTATTTATCATTCTATAGAGCTGTAGGCTATGTGTAGATCCAAAATTCCCCCTTCAGAGATCACCCCTTTGTAACTAGCTACAACGACTGTTCACACTTATGCAATTAAGTAAAAATACCATGAGCGAATTTTGGGCTAACTAGCCTGTGTAGATGTCTGGACGGATAAGGTTAATTGGTTCAGACACAGAAAAATAGTGCCATGAGTTTCCGAGAGCTATCATTATTCAGTAAGAAGACCATCAATCATCACAAACAGGCGCAGTAGGCGTTCGAGTTCATTCAGCATTTGCCAGCATTTTTCGACAGAATATCAAGTACAACAGATTTGATGAGAAAGATGAAAAAACTTATATGCAAGCAACATAATCTGCAAGGGCGTTCCAGCATGATAATATAGTGATTTTTGAGTAGACAGTGCATTTTTCACCCTGGAAATGCATAGAAAATAGGTTGATCACTTAACCTGCTTCATGTCTTTATCTTCTGCGCATATTCTTCGAAAATGGAAACAAACATGCGTTTTTATCTTTTTTTAAATATTATCCATGAAACGTGGATGTATAGTACGTAAGATTCCAGAACCCAGGTTTCCGCACATTAGCAGGTCCGCCCAACTTAGCACATTGCATTTGTATGCATAAGGAAATAGTATGTGAGAGTTAAACGTCGCGAGTGTTTTATCAGACCCTACTACTAATATTATACCTCAAGCACGAAATATGCAGAAAGTGTCACTTCACGAAAAAGAAGTAGTTGAAAGATTTCTAAGGTAATTATTTATCATGCTGGTAGCAAATGTACTAAGCAAAAGCCTAGATACGTGATTCGCCGATATTCTTCCGCTGCATGGCACAGCTTCGATTAGTTTGGCTAACCAGTGTTTCTTCCACCATGCTCTATGTGCTCTGTGGTAGATAATCCAGTTTTTAAATTATAGCTTTTTTATTTCCTCAGATTTGTAAATCTTACATGACTAGCCCATCAGAATTGGGTCAAATAAATTAAGCAAATCTGCCAAACCTCCGTATTGATTAAGTCAGCCTAGTAGTCATTCTGGTGGATTCTATATGATTGTTTAAAAAACCCTACCGGTGCAGTCAGCTTGCTATTACCTATTGGTGGATTCCATACGAGCAGTAAAGTTGGGCGGGTAAAATCGATCCAAATGTGATAAAAGTTACAGCACAAGGCGTGGCGTTTGTAGCTCAAGTAGTAGGGCGTTGACTGCGTAAAGGCCTTCCCTGCTATGCGCGTTCAACTGCCACCGAACGCCATGAGTTTTTTTTAACAATTTGGTCAACTAAAGTATCCTACTGTGGCTGATATAATTCAGCCCCAAATAATTGCATAAATTTTCGGTTTGCTCCTGTAGATCCTTGAATATAATGGTCCTATCTATGTTCAGAATTAACTTTTAATGATATAGCTGCGAAACATTTGACATATCAGCAGGTCTCCCATCTTCTTATGGGCTTTCTGCAAGATTCTTTAGTTTTTAAATACCACCCCTTTTAATTTCCGCAGATAGCTGATTGATGTCGCTTCAAATGCTCTTATTAAATTTCGGTCTGCGCCTTTAGCTCACAAAATATCCTAATCCACTTCAATTTCTACAGAAATTGGGAAACTTTAAAGACGCATTTTATTAATAACTGGAAATAAATTTACGAAAAACGCGCGGGCTGGATTAAAATGTTATGGAACAACTCTATTGTTTTTTTATAAAAATGTGCTGCGTCAGTTTCTTGCGCCTATGCCGTTAACCTTCCCATGAATGAGAATCAGAGATGACCTGCCACACCTTTCTTATAGACGTTCGTCACTCCAAAGAGCAGACGCAGAATGCTCTAAAGTCTATTGCTGCTCTGACGACTGGATTCATGGGCGGCATGATCGGTGCCCCCATATCGCGTCAGGAGGCGTTGGCTCGCTTTACTGGGAACAACATAGCTGGGAGCCCTTCACAACATAATCCCCAAGTAAGTCAAATATATGCATTCTTCGGTTCAATTTTCTCTTTGCTTATGTTGACAGATTTCGTTGAATGTTTTCGCAGTGATGAATCGTTTCAAATTTCTTCTTAGCTTTTCAAGCGCTTTGAAACGTTTGCCATCTAGAAGAAGACAATTGCAGAAATTATTGCAGACAGAGCATTTTCTCCAGACTATTTATAAAGTATTTTCAGGATAATTGTTGTATTGAGAACAAAATTATATTACTTATACATCAGGAAAATATGGCATGTTTTTTTGCTTAGTTGAAAAAAAAACTAGATATTTGTGAGCACTAGCGCTTTATCTTACTTTTCACAAGCACTACTATAGCACAGAACGGGGCATATTTTAAGTCGTGGATGGGTGTTCACCAACTGATTAGGCGACTTCTTTGTTTCGCTCTGCTTTGAGACTCATTTTGGATATCCTCTAGCAGCTGCATGGTGGTTAGTATTTTGAACAGAAGGACACTTCTGACAAAATAGACTATTGTCTTATATAAACGATACATTTCAATAAGCATCGGAGTTGAAAGTGATCATCCTAAATCTCATAAGTGCTTTCTCCCGTGCGGGGCTGTGGATTCTGAAAACAAAACCAATAACACTATACAACGCGCACACGCCGCAATACTGATGTGCTTATAGCAAATGCAAAGATTAACTTCCGGTTGTTCAAGATAAGTTCACTTGTCTATTAAAGTTTAGCGGAAACGAAACAAAGTATTTTACTGATAGACTCGGTCCACTGGCATGTCCCAGAAGACGCTAGATTAATTCACAAAGCGGTCAAAATTTCCCTTAAAGTGCGGAACTCACAACGAAAGTATATTTTTAATATAACCTTTAGACTAAAAGTATTTTATAGTTGTGTAAACACGCAAAGGATTAAAACAAAAGCAAAAGACAAACCAAAAATATAAGGAAATATCTTTGTCTAAATCCATGATTGTAAGTGTGCAGTAACTTTTCTAGAAATGAAGGCAAACTGAGCACAGGGATGAAACTAACAACGAAAGGTTCACGGTTGTACAACCATAGCAGGAAAGCATTGCTCTTTCTTATTTCTTGCTCGCTTTAATTAAAAATGTGAAAATTGTGCTAGAGTTTCTATTCCTTTAAGAGGCGGATATAAATGTAAAAACACACTCCAAATAGTCCACATTTTGTAGCTCACACATAGCTGTTTACATAGCTTCAAAATATCTATATTAAAAGTAAGATTCATATGATATGTTAAATCAGCTAGAACTTAATGCTGTAATAGCGTTAGGTTTTTGTATTTGGAGCTCTTCGTTTTCGAACGCTAAACGGTAAAGTTACGTAGAATTGCGAGGTAGGTACCACTAAAACTTGCACTTTTTACCATTCATTATGGCAGCAAAAAGGAATAACTTTTTGAGATAAATTGGTAACAGGCCTGGCTCTCAAGTTTCTAGCAAACACAAGGCAGATAACAGGCACTTTTTCGTTTTTATCATCAATAAATAACAATTAACTGTTCAGCTTTTAGGTCAGGTATGATTATAGAATGTGTTGAGTCTTATTTTTGTCAGTCTGATCGTCCTTTTCTATGCTCCTTATGTGATTCTCTAGATAATCATTTTGTTAATACTCCTTCAGCCAAGTTGTGCACTTGTATAACATAGTAACACTGCATTTCCTAACCCGTAGACGACA